TTTTCAGCCTTGAAGATATCTCTGTACTGAAAACACATTGTGAGCAGTTTATATGATTGTGTTGCTTAACTTGAAACCCTGCCAAATAATGACCGTGCAGCCCACTTAGATCTGAAACACACCTTATAGTACAAGTATTGATGAGAAAAGGTAAAGGTTAAGTAAGTCTATGTCCTGAAGTGTAAACCTACATCTTTATCAGGAACCAAAGGAAGTGTGGGAGAGTGGAGAAAATGGAACCAGTATCAGGATGTAAGAACAAAATAGAAATAAACACAACACACAAGTTTCTGCTTATGCTTATGCTAAGACCTGGACAGACAAGTTCCAATTTTGGAAAATGTACAAACTGGCTTTGCGCTGTGCGTGCCATTTGTAAGAAATACAATTCCCGTGATAGAGCCTTAATTTAGGGTGCTCAGTGTGCTTCCCTCTGTTCCCAGTCCTGTGTTGAACAGCTGAAATAATTTGTTTCACCATACGCTGCACTGCAACGTAAGGCGCAAGTCATTGTTTTGTCTGACAGCTCTGCTTGTTCTGCGTAACACCCTCCACACCCCACACCCCTCCTGTCTGCAGCAGGATCCCTGTGTAATTACATCCAGACAGTTCCCCTCTCCCATACGCTTGATATCACTGCTGACATCCACTAGCACAGCCCCTCCTCTATCTCTCTCTCTTCCCCTGTGTCTCTGCTATTGGAGAGCTCTCCTACAAGCAAGGGTACAGTCCTGCCTTGTCTTCAGTTGTTTAGTGTAGTGCATCGGCGCAGATGGAGAAGGACAGAACGAGCGGGAGACAGAGCCAGAGATTAGGGAAGGGGAAAGAGCATGGCAGACAGCTGACGAAGGAACTGTTATCCATGTGAACAGAAACAAAGAACGGAGGATGACTGAGCAATACAGTCGGATATTTATTAAGAAGACAACTGCTGGCTGAGTCTGTGGGGTAAGTAAGCAACTAGTATAAATCTTTGCTCTGGACAAGTGGCAGCACAAAACATTGTAAGGTCTTGGCATTTTGGTGAGCTTATGTTAACATCCAGACAATATGAAAGATGTTTTTTCCATAGGACTAGACACAACCTGAGCCTCTTAAAATGTGACACAATTAGGGTCTTCAGCAATGATGCACAAGAGAGATCTCCAGCTGTGACTGCTGCATCTACAGACTCTCAGGGGAAGTTCTGTCATGATTAACAATCCTCCTTAATCTCCTAAGAGTGAAAGAACGGAGGCTCCTCTCCACCTGAGGGTTTAAGGCTGCACCAAAACCTGATCAAATGCTCTGTGACTTTATCAAATACAGCAGTCACACTGTGGGCAACCAGATTTCCCATCACTGCATGTGGGGATGAATTTCCTGAGAGACAAGTAATCTGATTGAAAGATCAGACTGAGTGATAAGTGATTACAAGTGTGTGTGTGTGATAGTGTCGCTAGCATGCAGGTGGCTGAGTGTTTCTTTAAGTTAAGCTTTCAAGCAGGTTTTCCAGACAGTCTGATGGACCTTCATGTGTATGTGACAGCAGTGTGTAACCTAACATAGACGGAAAGGAAAGGACAGATTCAACTGAGCCAAGTGAGTAATTCACTAGGGGCTATATCTTTGATATTTACAAGTCTGTAAAGGACTTTTTCTATTCTGTATATTTCCACTTACCGTATTTTCCGCACTATAAAGCGCACCTAAGAGCCTTAAATTTTCTCAAAAATCGGCCGTGTGCCTGATAATCCAGTGCACCTTATGGTGCAGAAAATACGGTATTTGAGATTGCAGAGCTAAACCTCTGAATTGACAACTAGGTGTACAGTTCTTGAGCTTTAAGCATACTTCTCCTATATATTAGTCAAAACCAAAATCTGCCACTCTCAATTGTTGTCCAACATGACTTTAAACTGGCAATTTCTGCTGTTATACATATCACTTGTTTATGGCATTAGTAGTAATAAACAAAATGAAGTGACAGATGTTTAAGTGTTTAATATTATAGCGTTATAGCATTTGTTTTCAATAAATCCATCTCATCAAAGGACCAAAATGCACAGCACTATAATATTTCAAGCCAAATACTTAAAAGCTCAGAGTTTCTTTAATCCACTCTCAGAATAAATGATACTTTGCCCAAATTTTCATTTCTATTTTCTTGAAAACACTGACAAAAACTCTGCACACCTACAGATACAACAGGTGCATCAGAGCAAAATAGCAAATATTTTTCTGATTTTGTTTGGATGTTTTTTATGAAATTCAGAATGATGAGACTCAATAAGCACTCTCCAGGTAAACATGATTCACTCACTGTAGCTTAAGTTCATTGTTAACTATTCACACTACAAGGGCTATTCCAGTGTAAATTTATGGGTATGGTAATTAAGCAAATGGCAAAATAATGGGAGCGAATTTTCAAGCTAGTTCCTCATATTGTCTGTCCACATTAGCATACAACTTCCCTGTACCTGCAGATGTTAATCTGAAGAATTATCAAGTCAAGTATGTAGATGTGTATGTGAAAGAGTGGGACAGTGCATATGAAACACAAACTAGGCACTAATGTATATTACATTATCAGTATGAATAATTATAAACACTGCTTTAAAAGCAGTGCATAACGTTAGTTGTGATGTAGTAAAGAGTGAAAAGTTCAGCGACAATGGTGTGGTGGGTAGAGCAGTCGTCTCCCAGCCAGAAGGTTGAAGGTTCGTGTTGAAGTGTCCTTGGGCAAGACACTGAATCCCCCCAGTAGTTAGAGTCATCGGTTGAGTTGGCGCCGCAGATGGCTGCCATCGGTTCTGTACCGGAAACAAATTCCTTGTGTGTAACATACTTGGCCGATAAAGATGCTTATCCTTATCCATATTATTTGTGATATGCAGAGTTGCGTGAACATTCATTATCATTTGAATATTGTGTTTTGTATTGTATATTGCATCAGTCTAATGGTGGCTGTGTGAATTGAATAAAAAACTAACCACATTGGATCTGGTGTGCATGCTGTAAGTGCTTTGAAATTGCACATTACAAATGTGATTACAAACTACAGACGGAGCATAAATCTACTGCATTCAAATGGTTAGTCACTTTACTGGTAGGAAAGTCCCTCATGTAGTCTACAACAGATGAAAATGAGCTGTTTGTCTATACCTGGGTGGCCATCTATCATGAATGGAGCAATCTGTTCATTGGCCCTGGGCCAAAAATTTGCAGATGGGCGGAAGCACCACACCAGCAGGCCTCTGTGAAATGTCTATGTTCCTTGTTGCCTCCAACTTCCCATTACTTCCACGACAAACATTACTCCTGTGCTGGAAAGATGCGTAATTTGTGTTTACTCTGTAGAAATTTGTGACACAATCTAAAAATAATGAAGCTTCTAAACCTAGTTTGTGACACAAAACACTAAAAAAATTAGCTTCAGGTAGAGAAGGGGAATTTGTTAGTAGAATCACCTGCAGCTGCGATTGGTTGTGGTTTATCAGTTGTTGTTATTTCTTTAGTCTGAATAACAATGTATTTTGCTATGTGTTATGCATTTGCATTAGTCTGATGTTAGAGATCGCTTGAGCCAATTGTTAAGATCTGCAACAGGGCCAATCCAGGCATGTTTTAATGGATTGTCATTGGCTAAAATCAAGCATTCAAAATCTGGTCCTTTTTTTACTGAAGTTTACTGTTTTGTACGCCTCAGCCTGCTCTCCTTAAAGACAGCCAGTAAATCAATGTTAATTCTGTGAGTAACTTGATGAAAGGCCAAAAAATAAAATGGCCTGTTGTCACTCTCTGCAGCTGGTGTCTGTACTCCAAAGATCATTTGTAAGGCAAGAAACTACATTCTTAAACACTGGAGTACAACTGTGGACTGCAATTGTTTACCCCAAAAATTCCAACAGAGTGAGGCATCTTTTTTCAAGCAAATCATATCACTGCAGTTTCAGGAGTCACATTCTTCCAGTTAAACTTTTACTTATGTCATACAAATTACTTAAAATTATAAAGAAGCAGTTTTGAATTAGTATTTAGAATACAGTAAGTAACTTGTGAGATACAAGGTTCACTGTGCCAGACACATACAGTACTGTAAAAGTAAACAAAAGCACAAGATCAGTCTTGGTATCGACAGATACCCATTGTTAAAGGACTCAAATAAGAATCAGGATCAAAAAACCTGATTGTGACATCACTATCAGATGCAGGTCTGGATCTGATAAATACTGTTATGTTAACTGACTGACACTGCTTGTGTTCAATTATTACTAATTGTTCTATTTGCTCCTCTTTTTTACAGATGTTGGTTGGCATTTACTGGGATTGTAAGCAGTGTTTTGATAGTGCAGACTACTGTGAAATCAACACTACCGGAAAGTGCCTCGAGGCTCATCTGTATGGCAAAGAAGTAGTGTGTCACCCTAAAGAAGCTAAAAAGAAAAACAGAGCCTTGAGGAGTAAACATTTACTTCTGCAGTGAAAGGTACTGGCAGACTTTCCTGCTCTTGTCTAATTTAAATATTCAGCAAAACCAAATGTGCACCATGCCAAGAAATGCTCCTCTTTCATAGTCACAATTCATACTGCCTCACAGTGCACAAGGCATTTAACTACACAATGGAAATATGGCCCACAAAATAATACGTAATCATAATCCTATGGAATCAAGCCTCTAGTCGTAAATCAATATCTATATGATGCTCAGTGTGTAACAGTGACTGAGGACAGCATGAAACCAAATTAAAACTTTATATTAAGTTGACCATCACTGGACACTCTGCAGTCCAGTCTTCATAATGGAATCTGAGGAGAGCATGACAGGACTGTCCTCAGCTGCACTGGTGGCCATTGGCTGCAACACATTTGTTGCCATCCTCCTCCTCCTCCTCTGTTTAATCCTCTACCGAGCCTGCAGGGTCCCTTCCAGCCCGGAGAGACTGCCCGTGCTGGCTCCCAGTGAACGAGAAACTCAGCAGATGAACGAGCACAAGTACTTGTTGACCTCTTGACTGCAGAAGGATGAATCAAATGTAGCAAAGAGTGATGTCCTTGGTGCACTCCTACACAGGAGAGGCGACTGAGGGGGCACTGGAACTGACTGCAAGCAATAATCTGCCTTGTCTGGCTTCGCAGTTGTAAAAGTCAGCTGTCAATCTGATCATAGCAAAAGATGAACTGTAGTGGAGTGAAGGAATTATTTTTAAGCAGCTATCACTTCTCAGATCTTGTTCTTGGGTTGACCAAGTGCATGAAGGAATGCCAATATGAATGTATACATTTAACACACACACTGTGTAATGAAAAGGACATGGCCACTGATGGATGCAGGTTATGCAGAGACTGAGAGAAAGGAATGTGCAGTACGCAAAGAGCAACCTGTTGTTGGAGGTTTCTAAATATATCCTCCTATTTCATACTCTCCCATAAAAAAGAAAAAACAATCTGTTGTTGAGAACAGAGACTTGAGTCCATGTGGAGTATGTGTGTCATTGTCACTCATAAATACCAGCGATCTGTGAGGCATAGTGCCTTGTTGAGAGTGTTACATAAGAACTAGAGAGGCTTAGTTTAGATGTGTGTCCTCTTCAATACAGCCCTCACACTGACATCTGCTCGTTGCTGTCCGCGATGGCCTACTCACTCTTGACTGAATCACAGACCGCACACAGAAACTGCCCATGTTCCCCCACATCCCAGCACACATAATCAATACTTAAGCATTTAACTTGTATTGTTGGTGCTGCGACGTACAGTTCGGCAAGACGTGCTGTAGAGGTTATTTGTATTTTAAACTTTACAATACCTCCAGGAATGTTAGCTGACATAGTAAAACTATGTATGGACTAAGAAGTAAGAAAGGGTTTCAGAATATATCGCTGTTGCTCGTATGAGAATAAGAGCTGCTACTGTATGTGTAGTATTAGAAAATGTTCTGTAGCATATCCCAGTTGTAGTAAAAAAAAAAAATGCAGTGGCAACATCCAGCTCAACCACAACCATGAGATGAATGGGATAAAAACAGTACATTTATGTTGGGATTGGCTCATTTTTCTACAAACAATAACTTGTCATCAGAATAATATAAAAATTGTATGTAAAAGCAACTAATTATATGCATACTCGCTCTAAAGAAACTATCCAGAAACACTTCAACAATTTTTAGAGAAGCTCTTGGAATTGTTCGTTGCATTTATTCTACTATTGTAAAAGATGCAGAAACACCCATTTTTAACCTGAAAATAGCCTCAGTAGACAAGAATACAAGGCAACCATGAAACATGATATAATATGAGCAAAAAGTCACTTACTGCCTTTAGAGGAAGCCTGGTAAATTAAAAAAGATGATTCTATTAAAATTAATTACTAAAGAACATGTGGACAAAGAAAGAGACCACAGTTATTGAAAAAAGCTACTACAGTACAACATCTGACCAAAAAATAAGTCCTGGAGTGCTACATACTTATTATACGTAAGAACGTGCTTGCACAGAAGGCGTTTTTGCTACATTGTTCAGTCGGTGGTGACATTTTGCTCTGGACATACTACAGGTGTTGTACTATAATTGCAACCTTTGCTTTGGAAGTGCACTTTCTAACTGCCAGGCCGCTCTTCGACACAAGCCAAATGTGATCCATGCAGCTACAACAATCGACAAAAGGGCAACATAAACAAACCTGGTAAACAGTAGAACAAAAGGTTCTATAGCTAATCTTGCAGTATGCCTCCTATTACTGCAGTAATGAGGTAACTGTCACAGCTGTATTCTCATTACTACCCCATTGCCACAATCATTTATTCCACATTGTCTGAAAAAAAGTGAAGCCCTACACTAACTAAGCTTGTGAAGATCAGTAATAATTCACACTGAAGGTCAGACAGCACTGCATGTGTTTGCAGGAAGATGTGAAGGGCAGACAAGCTCACAGTAAGATGGAGACGAATGGAGAAAAAGGCAAGAAAAAAAAAAAATGCAGACACCACTATAAATCAAAAATCAGTGATGGGAACTTAAAACACTCCTAGCTCATCCCTGGACAGGTGCCCGGCATGGCGTGTGCCAGCCAAGATTGTCTGGATATGGTCCATAACTGAACAATATATTACACTAATTTATCCCCTCCCCCATTTTTTAGCCTAATCAACTTGTACAATACAAAGAGAATGGGTTTAATAAATCCTGCAGAAAAGATCAACCAAGCAAATGGAATTCTAATGTTGCCTGTTTAATATGTATCCAGTACTGCAGTATAAATAAATGCATTATAAACTGAATATGAATGATTTATTAAAAAGATCAGAAAAAAACTTTTAGAAGACCATATACAAATTGTTTTCTTGTTATGTCATTTACATTTCCACCCATAGAACCAAAGAAATGAGATGAGTGCAAAATGAGAATAAAGGTTGTGCCATGTTGCTGTATTGGGGAGAAAAGCCGTGATGGCAGTGTTAACCTGCACTTTGCTCTGGTTCCCTCAACAGACTGAGGAGCTTCTCCATCTTGGCTACTTCTACTTCTGGACCCTTAGGCACCTCCTGACCCTTCTTAGCCTGCAGACAAACACACAAACATAGAAAGAGAGAGAAAGAAATCAGAAATGACTTGACCTTATGTTGACCAAGCTTCGAGGGAGAACATGAACCCAGCAGGGAGGCAGTTAACAAAAGGAAAACACAACACTCATACAGAAATTGAAATGGATGGAAGTCACTAGTAGCATAAACAGCAGACAAACACAGCCACGTACCAGCTACCGTACATAATACAGCTCAGTGTTTGTCCTGTGTTGCGGCATAAGTTCGTTCCACCTCTGTCAAACAGAGCTTTCCTTATCAAATCTTAACTATAGTTACTGGCTTTTCTCTCATTGACCAACTGTAATTGAAAAAGCCTGGTAGGGTCTGACAAAACCAACATATCTTCATCAGGAAATAACATGCTTGCTAGAAATGTAAGAGGCAACATCAATTACAGCTTGTACAAAAAAAAAATGTATGCAACTATTGAAATTTACATGATATGACAACATTATGGATATATGATTTAAAAATATGATGAACTTAGTTTCAACAACAGAGAGGTAATTCGTATGTAGTGTACTTTGTCTTGTGCATTTTTAAAGAGGCAGATTACTAATGAAAGTTAGCATACAGTAGTCACACACAGACTGCTATTATTTGTAGCATTAGTATGGAAGTGATATTAAATATTCACACAAATAATTTCTCCTTTGAAGCTTGGAAATTTTATATTTATTTTTAGTTTTTGCTATTTTAAGGTTTGAAACAGTGAGGGGGCTAATCTAGACAGACCGCTGCATTCCCCAAACGAATGAGCATCAAGTCTTGATGCAACATACAGTAATAACTCTGCGATGATGAATGGCTCAATAAAAGCGTCCTCCACAGTGGACAAAAAGGCAGACTGAACACAAATTGGGACTTGAAATTAATAAAAACTTCACAATTAATTAAAAATGTAATAAATGAATGAATGTTTCCTAACTTCTCTTGCTGGTTTACTCACCACAGGAGCTAAATCTCAGACTTCTTTTGACTGTAAAACTTCCTCTGAATACATGGAATACACACAATTCCACGGTGTACCATTAGGGCCAGAATGGTGTCTGCTTATTATCAGGCACTCTAGGCTAAAGCAAATGTAAATGCTATGATAAAAGTTATTTTCTGGGAAGCAACAATGATAAACAGCCTATCACAGAACACTGCATAATGCTGCTTTTATATTGCAACAACCACTTATGATTTGTGTTTAACACAGAATGAGGCCACTGGAAAAAAAGAACAGATCAGATGAACCCATTCACGTTGCACACATTTAAACAGAACAGTGTGTACTTAATATGCATTATGTGAACTGTGACACTTTTAGACCAGATCCAACCAAAACATGGTGACACAGTGGCACAAATTTGACCCATCTCAGAAAACTCTTGTTCCTTAAAACCTCAGACTTTCAACACCACATACAGTATGTACCTGCAGGTCTACACATAACACAACACACAGCACAGCCTAACAGCACATACACCTAACATTACCCTCAGGAAATAACAACAGAGAGTGCTCAGATTATTTTAGAATGTACAGTACTTTGGCAAGGTAGGTATTGACATATAGAAGTTTTGTGACATACAGAACCAGAACACAGACCTCTGATTTTGGAAGATCAAAGAAACTATGTAAAAGCTATTTGAGGAGCACCACAGGACAAGCCAGGACAAGTGGACTGGTTTACAGCACATCTGTATTCTTTCAGTTTGAATTCCTGTGCTCCTGAGCCAGTGTTTTCAGTATAATAATGGGCCACCATGCCCATTGTGCTAGTTTTTTTGGGTTCTGAGCCAGTTTTGTAAAATATATTATTGGTAATATTTGCTGTGCATGTTTGTGCCTGATGCTTATTTGGCACACTGGGTTCCAAAATGCTCGGAGCACTGCCGGTTCTAAAGTGTGCAATTATTTCCCAATTGTACGCTTTAGAGCTATGGTCTGAGGTTGTAGATGAGAGAGCACTGGGTGTGTGAGTACACGTTTTTATGCTCTCCTATTATAAACTGTGTTCATTTGTGTGGTTGAATGAGAACGTCTTATGTGTCTGCACCCAGGCGTGGTGATGCTATAATAAGACGCGTACTGTAGCCATTAGAGTTTCTTCTAGTTTGCATGCACCGACATATACAACACAAAGGAAACTGTGCAGGCTATAAAGCCGACTTTAAATGGGCTCTGATTAAAGTGTTGTGACTCAGTGTGTCATTTAGTTTCCTCCTCTGTTTAGTAGGGTTGTGGTTATTACTCCACATCTCATTAATGATTGTCATCAGTGGCAACAGAGCATTTCAGCAAGTGATCAATTGTGAATAGACTAAAGTGGAACTTTGTCTTTAATGCTACAACTTGCTTTGAATGCCAAATTGATTTTAGCTTTAAGATTATTTTCTTGATTTTGTATTGGATTCTGCTGCCAGTTTGACAGTAGGAATGAATACCTATGAACCCATGATGTCTTGGCCGTGGTAGGTATTTTTAACCACAAAATTGTCTTTTTTATTTGACACTATAACCATTTTTTCCCTTCCAGAGGTCTTCAACGAGGGTAATCGAAAGAACACTTGACTTCTTTGTGGATAAATTTGTTACCCGGCCTAAATGGGCAAGTGAAAAAGAAGTACATGCGATTAGTTGATAGTGAGCTGCTGAGGAGGGGGGTAAGAACTGCCTTTCATTCCACTGTTATTTAATGGAATTAGCTCAAGGTCAGGACTCTGCAATGAATTAATCATCTGATCTGCTTTCATTGATACAAAACTTGTGGCAGCCAATGAATAATGTAAAAGGGCAGGCATGCTTTCAGATTGTTTACAGATAAAATGGTATGCAAGGTCAGAAGAAAATAGGTTACACAAATTCATTGGGTACCACACACTTCACTGTGCTAAACGTGGTAGAAGATTTGGTACCTAATTTGTAATGTAGACAAGTTCCATTTGTATGTGCCAATAAACCCCAATTATAAAGACAGAGACAAGAGAAAAAACATAGAATAGTAAAGCAGCTGCATTTGGAGGGGAAGATTTATCTTCTGACCACTTAAAGGCCGTCTTAAAATGGGCATAGCTTTGGAGTAAATTAGAGCAAGTGATTGCAATGTAACTGCAAGTCCCTCTCTGTCAACTTAATAAGATGCTTACCTTGGGATTTTTGCGAAGGTTAGGGGAAAGTTTGAAGCTGGTCACACAGCCTCGGTCATTGCCCACTATGATGATAGGATAGATGGGATTAAACTCAATGTGAGTCAGCCTGGTCTTCTTTTGGGCCACCACTGGCTGCTGGCAGATAGCCTCATACTTGTTGACATTTAGATCAAAAACATGAACCTGAAAAAGAAAAGTGATCACACTTTTTTTTTTTTTTTTTTTTAAACAGTCCTGACCCTCTAAGATTTCTGAACTGACATTTCAGGAGTATGGCACTACCACAACAGCATTGACTGAGGGTGTAAATTAAAACCTGTGAAAATCTAACAGACTACCATAATTAGGCTATAAGATTTAAGTCTTCAGATTTTTCCTCCAGATAAGTAAAGGCTAAATCTAATGTAACCAACTGCTTTTTCACATCTTGACTTTTGTTTTGTTGACTTTTATATGACAAGGAGAATGGTAGAGGACAAGCCTCTGCTGGATTGCTAGCCTGACCATCTGTTGCAAGGAAGGGTGCTCCTAGTAATGCGATGTGTGCACACTTCTGTCCTTACATGGTGTGTGTGCGTGTGTGTGTGTGTGTGTGTGCTGGCAGCCCTGATACAAAATCATAGGCATCTTTATCCAGAAGGAAGCAGATCACAGATATTCTTCTTTGAGGCTAAGTGCATCTAGAGACTCTGCCAACAATGAATGAGCCCACTGCAAAGCATAGCTCACCCCATTTACCAGAGACATGACTGTGCCTGGGCTGCCAGGGTTCACACTGTCTGTGTGTACCGGCACCACACAAAGCATTGCAGTCATCGCCACCAACCAATCATTATATTCTACCAGGATATGTCTTTCTGTAACCTCCACCATTACAGTCATTATCTACTGTGTTTTCTCCTTATATAAAAGCAGTAATGTAACAGTGGTTGTGAATGACTGATTGCAGTACACGCTGATCTATAATTCCCACATTTTACTGTAATCTCTATTGCACTTTTATTAGCATCAATACACACATTATATGAGGGTTTTAAGTTTAATATATTAACAGATGTATTCAGTTCACGGCAAGCTGTTAGGGAGGTTATTATAATACCAACTGTACAAAGGGCTTTGTTAAAACATCTGATTATAATTTCTTCTAGCAAATCTGCATTGAATTACCAGACAAGACAATATAATTTCACATCATCCCAAAAGACCGAGGCAAGTAAAAGTGTAGTTTTTTTGTTTTAATTTCGTTTGTCTGATGTTAAGTTATCAGATCTAAAAATCCATCATAAGCTGATACTGGTGTACTAAAAGAAATATTTTGCAGTCAATGTGCAGAAGGTTAAGAGTAGCTGCGCAGGCAGCAAATATGGATTCTGAGACTAAGCAATGGGGGACATGCCTGTGCTTCTCATTATTTCATCCTAACTCTGTTTCTTCAACAGTCAGCTCAGATGGACGGAGAGAATGAAGAGATATTTGTTTGCACTGCACGACTCAGTGTCATTCTTACACCCCAGCCTGCCAAGCAAGTCATTATCCTTATGAACACATGCACATACACACTCACCAACACACACATACGCCATAGTGTCCGTGACATTTTACAGTGTGGTAGCAGCAGGAGCAGGTCAGGTTGTCATCAACAGTAAATAGACGTCAAGGAGCTCACAACTCATGTTGAGTCATTTGAGCTCTATCAGATACTTGTCACAGAAAACAAGCAATGCACTGCAAAGAATCTGCTATGCTGGGGACAATTATGCATATTAACATCATGCACTGAGACCACCAGTGAATGTGTGACAATATTCTGTCATTCTTCAAAATCTGACAGTGATGAAATGCTAAGAGGAATTTTGCCTTGCCTTGGACTGAACGCAGAAAGAAATTATTTATTAGATGCAGTATTTCTGCCTAACCCCTATAGGTTTTACAGGTGACATTTAGATTATCTCCAAATTTGGTACTGGGTTGCATATAATCACTACCTCCTGTCAATATAAGCTATTTTTACCCAGGCACATCTTTAAAATCAGACTACAATGATAGTTCAGTTTTGAGTTCTGTGGCCCAAAAAGGTCCACCTGCTCTGAACTTGATTCACTTCAGTGTTATTTTCTTGTTCTTCCTGCTGCTTAGAAATGATGAGCTTTCAATGAGTTAATAAAAGCTGCTGAAACCTGCTTTTGATCCAGGTTTGGAGAATAAATTGCAATATATACACATATGTATGAGACTGCTTTCTAGCAAACACATTTCATTTGACTTTTTCTTTGTTGAAAATGTTTAAGCAAACTCTTCAATTTATTCTGGCTATAAATATTATCCATATGCACTGCCAGTTATTTGTTTGCAACTTGTATACTACAATATGAATGTGACACCTCCTTGTCTGATGGTTGGTTGTGAAATAATTCACATAATGGAGGGTATACTACAGTATGAACTGTGTCTGTGATGACTAAATCCTGACAATGAGGAGGACCCAACAGACTACACATTAGGTGCCTCTCAAATTGCTCAGCTCTCATTTCCTCTATCACTGTAATTCGACTTAACTTGGCACACTGGACAGGAGATGTGTCAGACATAACACTCTGGACTTTTATAGCATGGCACAGAATGGCGCGAAGACAAACAGATGGGCACAGCTTGCAGCCATACTAAGAAAATATGTGGAGATAAACAACACAGTGTTCAGTGAAATTAGTTCTGACTGGAATCAATAACCACTGGCAAAGTAGGATGCTGTCTATGTCACAAAAACCATGTTTGAACAAACTCAGTTGCCTGAGGCTGCATTAATCTAAGGCTTAACCTTATAAAAGGTTTATTTAGTTGAGTCTATAACTAGATTATAAGGAGAACAATGAAGTTGGTGGCAGGTGGTAGATGGTGCAACTGTTTGAGATTTCATACGTTCTGTTTGGTAAGAGCTAAGCCCACATTACCTTTGCTACACAGCAGGCATGTAGTTGTGATAATCAGCCTTGAGACAAAGCATCTTATAGACCCTCATACACTCACTGGCCACTTTATTAGGTACACCTGTATAATTGTATGCACTTCAGTGTAACATGTCTGTCTTGACATTTGTGTTTATGGAACTCAAAATGTTTCCATTTTTGGCGAACTTGTCATAAATGTATAAATTCAGTTATATCAGCCTATACACCTGAAGCTATCAAAATATCATTAGTAATGTGCCTCTTCTACTAATCTTAAATAAAGACAAGGACAAAACTACACATAAGATGTGTATCAAGATAATAACATTAAAAAAATAGTAACTACTGGTAATATCTTGTATCCCGATTTTGATATTTGACATTTTCTCAACTTTACATTGTGTATGCTTATTCATTATAAATATGTTTGACTCTTGATAAATCTACACATCACTTAAGCACTGCATCATGAACCAGAGTATTATTAGTAAGAGTATTTGAGTAAGGCCAAAACACACAAAAAGTGAGAAACTTCTAAACTTCCAAGTCCTGCTTTGGTCTCGAAAATTTAAGGACACTTACAGTTCCATCTGTTATGACAGCAGCAAATACAGTGGAGGAATATGGAGCCCAGGCAACATCTTCAACTGCTGCAATAAAGTCAAAGGTCAGCAAAGGAGTGCTGGAAAAAAAACAAAGACATATAAAGTCAGGCAGGAATTTTCATTATGCCTGCAACACATCATTTTACATATTGTCACAACATTTTCTGATATGAGGTTGTATGATGCTGCTGCTGCTGCCTAGCCATTAGTGCAGTACCTGTTTGATAGCAAAGTAGAACACTCAAGAGAGCGCATGTACCTCCGCCAAGGCACAATATTCCCTCATGCAAATAGTCTCTTAAAATCCTTGATCTCGGATGTGGATGATCTTTTAGGGTATGATAGGCAGTTATACTGTGCATTGTACATGAAAATTTCAGGGTTCTATCTTCATTATAGGCCAATCTATGGCAGAAAATATGCATTAAGTGGGGTTTTCAATGTTAACCTTAAATGGCTGTCAGATCCGCAATCTGGATCAGATCTGGATGAAATTTGATCTGGTGATAGACCAAAAACAACCTCCTTGGCAGAGGCAATAGATGTGTGTAGTAAGAAAATATTTGAGGCTATGATTAATTTTAGTCATTGTCACGCAACTGAGGCCATTCAAAACCTTTGTAATTTCATCCTTTATCTGGAAAAGGTTTTCTGATGGTAGGCATGATGCATGATGGTTAAGGCCTTCCAAACGTGCCTACCCAGAATGCCATATGACATCATGCCAGCCAATGTCTTATAGTAATGTATTGTTAGGATAACTGAAATAACTCAGCATGCTGATCAACCTGCTGTAAATATACAGTAGCTACTACTTTCCCTTTTCTCTAGATCTGCATCTCTGTCACATCCTTTACTTATTACGCAACCAACACCTGAGATGGTTTCTAGTGAGGAAAAGCTCAAAAGTCCCTGTTCAGTTATGTTTATGCTATGTTACACTATGTCTACCTTCAGCAAGCTCAGAAAAACACACCACAATGCAGTGATGGTCACCACAGTGCTTTAACAACTCAGTGAATGTCAGACAGCGCTACACAAACACAGTCTCAACTCTATTCAGCCTCTCTGGCTGGAATGCACATGGTTTGTGTTGATTTATTACATTCATTCATATGAAGCTCCATTACATATATTTTGTAGTGCGCTTTTTATGCATAAAATGCTATGTATCGAAATTTCTACAGAATACTGAATATTTACATTTTCTCTAACCCACCACAACCTCCCTAAAATACAAAATACCACAAATACTCCCACAATATGTACAAGGAGAGTATTTTCTATTCAAAATGGAGCCTCACAACTTCATGAACCTTAACAAACCAACCAGAAGGTGCTAGCAACATCACAACTCTTTCCACTGTTTGCACCGGTCTCCTTTAGTGACTTTGTGCATGAGTACCCTTTGCTTCTGTGTTGGTGTGCCTGTTTAATAAATAAAATGCACTCTGGTAGGTGTAGAGCATATCTAAAATAACAACCTAAAGAGTAATAAATTTGGTTCAGTCTTCCAAAAGAGGGTTTTTATAACAGAATGATGCTACACATACTGTACATCCAGAGTCAGTCCTATTAAGATACATACTGTACATTTTATCATTTGGCTGATGTGTCAATTTATCAGGCTAACATTTGCGTAATAGACATGATGCAACTCTCTTGTATTACTACAGTTCAAAACTAGCTGATGTCATCTAACAGTTTTACAGGATATATGAGCCTCGTTAGTGAAACAGAAAGAGCAGTTTTCAGTGTAATGCTTTCAAACAGTATGGTAAAGAGTTTGTGAAAAGTACATATGTACAGTATCTCTGGGATGTTATAGATCGTCATTGAAAATTCAGTCTCTCATAATGAGCAGATGATTACTATCATTATTTAGTCAAGTTGCCTGTGCTGACAAGAAGTGGGAGGCACTATAGATTAGTCAAATAAGGAGGGAAATTATGCTGGGTCCATGATGAATGTAAGAAGATAATAAGGATTAATATACTGTGCTGTAATATTATGGAAAGATTACAGGAATTATAATTACTTCACCTTTCTTCACTGAAGCACATAGGATTAGAAATGTCAGTAAGTAAGAATATATATAAACACATACACACAGCATAACATTTTAGTTGCTATTCTGTAGCTAACCACAGCATACACTTCCTGTTAGAAGTGTCAAGTTCAACACATATGCAGTCAGAAGCTCCTTCTTTTCACTCAGCAATGAAGAGTTTCACAGGAAGACAGAGTATTTCAAGCTATTCCAGAGATGTCACCCTCCTCTGCAAATGCACCACAGCCAACTAGTAGGAGTTGCTAGCACTGCTGCAAGTACATGATCACTCCAGCCAACACTGCCAATTGTGTTTGATGCAACACCTAGTTATGCCAGCAGTGTCCGACATGGAACTCTAGTCGCTGCAATGGTGGGTGAGTGGTATCATTCAATAATAATAGCACCACACCATTCAAATGGTACAAAATATTTCCAACATGTAGCACAATGTAGAATTAGAAGTAGAATTTCCACTTAGTGGTTGTATTCTACCGTCAACCAGTCAAATTCATGTAAATAGGCCAGATGCGAGGTCACTGACCTTGACCTTTGACCACCAAAATCTAATCTAAATCCAAGTCGACATTTGTTCCAAATTTGAAGAAATCCCAATGAGAATGGACTGGCTGGCTGGACAACCCAAAAACATGCCTCTTGCTGTGGAGGCATAAAAACTGCACATAAATGGAAATGATATATGATGATGAATAAAAAAAATTGTAAAAGGACACACTTCTACTATAAACTAGATAAAATACAACCAAAACATATTTTTGTAGCTATACGGGGATCAATTTTTCTGAAATAGGGCGCAGAGGCAAAAGCAAACCTAAACTCCAAGCAAAGATGCAATTTTTGCGATTTTGGTGACCACAGTATTGGTGCATTTTGGGTGCAGCCAGGCGCAACCTGGCCCCATGTGGAAGAGAGGCTGCATACATTATTAGTGTGAGGAATGCATTATGAGCAGCTGGAGTTGGGGCTGGCTTTAGTAATAGCCAATCAAACCAGCTCCTCTCATCCATCCCCTTTAAAAGCACAGTGGGAAGCCTGTCTTTGATTGATGTCACTGATATCATGATGGCTGATCTGGAGAGGCTCTGTCAGAGAACGTTTCCACTTGAGAAAACTAATATATGTGTCCATGAGATGCAGAGTCACCATGACCACATCTACAGAAATATATGAGATGCAGCAACGAAAGATTCTTTCCTAATATCTTCTCCTACAGTAGCAATTATGTACTCCACTCCTAAACTATGATGAGAAAAATATGTACTGTCGAAGTACTCCACATAAATAGTCACTCAGTAGTCTACTAATATGATTTACCAGCTTTTGTGCATAAAAGACAGAAAGACTGGTCCTATAACCAACAGCATACATACAGTATCTACACTACAACAGCTACAACATACTTGATGGTGTGGTCCCAGATCTTCACAGTCCAATCTGAACTGCAAGAGATGAAAATCTTTGGATGGAAGTGGTTCCACTTTACAGTATCCACTGCCATGCTGTGGGCATCATAGGTCTCCAGGAACTGGCTCGAGTAAGTCTTGGAGCACTAGGGAATACAGGCAAAGTCTCTGATTACTTTATCATTTAATACAATGCTCAGAGACATTGCCTACTGGTGGCATCTGAAGCAAACCTTTGCACTGGAGGATTGGTGAAATGTCTGGAAACTGTCAAGATCAAGTTGGTGTACTAAAGGTAGAACTACTTATTTTTTAACTTACTATAAACAGTACAATGTAAGGGCTTTAAAGAAGCATCTCAACATACTTTTTCATTAAATGTTGCTTAAAAATTTGTAACTTCCAAGCCCAAGATGAGCTAATACTGGCAACATCACTGTGACAAAGGTCCCTCTTGAACCACAAAAAAGACATCACACAAGCTTCGTAGTAGTCCTTGGTCAAGTAAACAGATAAAAATAACCAAACTGACTATTTAAACATTTTTGTTTTCGGTGGAAGGAGAACCTGGCATAAAATATTTTTTGAGAATAATTTATGTTTCTGTCTGTCTCTATGTGTCAGCCCTGTAATAGACTGGCCACCTGTCCAGGGTGTACCGCTGCCTCTCACCCAATATCAGCTGGAATTGGCGCCCCTGACCCTCTTCAGGATAAGCGGTATAGATAATGGACGGATGGGTGGATTTACGTTTCTGGGCACACATAATTTTCCATTCACAGCTGATGGAAATTTCTGCTGTGACACTGGTGACTGGAGTGAGACTAGAAGTAAAACATGCTTGACAGTTCTAACCCTGGGAGAGTAATGCTATTCTCTGTGGTTCATTGATGAATTACCCTTTATATTTTCACAGTTTGTTTGCAACTGACAGAAAAGGGTTTACAAAAACAGCAGCTTGATAAATTGGATTTTTGTTCCAGAATAGAGACAATACAAATGTACAGTATGTGCCACCAAGAATTCATTATTTATTTTAATCTTTACCAGTGGAGATATTGTAAATGTAATTTGCAATATGGGACAGACTGACACCCTGATTTGTTTGGGGAGGTAACAGACGTCCTGACTAATCATTTTAGGCAGCAGATAAAGTCAGTCTGACCTCACTCTGTGCTGCTGTCACTGTTGAGTTACAGTTTCTTCAAATGAACAAGTTTCACACAGACCTAGCATTATTACTACTGAGAGGATATACACCGTGTTGTTTTTGCATTTTATGATTGTTTAATCAGCTTTGAAAGCAGCTGTAGGTGGAGATAAAGTGGGCGAAGCATCCATTGACTGTGCGCTCTATCGGACTGCAATCAGTTTCACCATAAATGAAGTGATTACAAGATAATTTTATTGTATTATTTTAAAAACTGTGAAATGTTTTGAGCAAGGCCCTTAAGTCCAACCACTCCAGTGGAGCTGCTCAGTGGCTACCGGTCAGGCTGTGGTTGTACTGGACAGATGTGAATGTGAACCAGATGGCCCTGAAAATGAGTGATGGCCTCTCAATAGACCTTCCCTGAAGAAATAAAGGTACAAAAAAAAGTTACATGTGAGACAATCATGGATTTCACACTTAGGCCTGGAGTTTAGACACAAGTTGAGCACTGAGCCCTGTCTCAGGAAGACAGAGCCCCCAGAGTTATACAGTATATGAGACTCTTCAGCTCCCTAAAGAACGTGGGGGTGTGGTACTCTCAAAAAAAGTACTATATTTCTGCACAAATGCAGTTCTTATTTTGTTGGTGTTGGGGGACATGGGAAAAGCACTGGATGGATTTTCAGTTCAGAATCTGATATGGAATAAATAACAATACAATAGAACAGAAAATGTTGGATTCAATAACAGCTCTCACACTAAGAACATGGCACAGAATGATAACGATAAGGAGTAAACACTTGAATAAACCATTCTGTGTTGGTGAGAATGGGATATATAAATGTTGGAAATGCCCATAATAACCAACAGTATATAAGGCAGTGAA